TTCAAACCAGAATGTCTCTGCAATGTGATCTTGTTAGTGGATCTGCTGGTTCTGACAGGAAAATGATGCAAAATATTTTTGTTTCTACTCTAGTTTTGCTTAGTACTTTAAAAGCTAATGATGCAGTGAGGATTTTTGAAAGATGATCACATCTGTGTGGTTGGAAGGTGATCAAGAAGCGATTTGCAATGCAAATTATTTGAAAGTCACACAAGGTGATCTTAGAGGAACTATTTATCTAAATGACTTATGAAAATTATATGAGGTGAAACTTGATGTATAAAACTCTTATTATAACCCCTATTCCAGAGATTTAGTTGTGAAAAGTCCAAAATCTGTTCTCACCATATTGTCTTTAAGTCCTGCATTCATAAAGGGAGTCACTGCGCCAGCAACATGCTGTAAGCCAGCCATGTTTCCATAATTCGAGTCCCTCCAGGTTTATCAGACGCAGCTCCCTACAGCAGGAATTAAAACCTCGGTTTCTGCAGCACAGTGGCTTCCCCTCCATATCAAACGCCTTCATCGGCTGCTTGCCTGCTCTGCGTAGGTGGCAGCAGCAGCAGCAGCAGTTTCCTCCGGTGCCAAGGAAGCTCCACTGCCTTCACATCCACCCCGCAACTCCTCTCCTTTCTCCCCCTCTCTCTGTCTGCTTGCTGTTGGGGAAAACTAGGTCACTAAAGTGAGGTGAAAGCAACGATGTGCTCATGCGTCTGTCACTGGATATTAGTCGCGTCATTGTTATTAGGCAGACAGACAGCCAGAGGACGGTTGTAAATCACTGTATTTATTGTGGATGGATTAATTGAACTTTTCCAGCAGAACATTGGATTAGTGATACTTTTAGACAACAGAAGCAAACATGATGACCTTTCAACGGCCCAGAGGTCAATGGAAAGACACTGTTATCAATAGTTACCATGAGTATTGCCAGATGTTAAGGATAACACTCTGAATAATTTTGATCTAGTTTATATTATTTCAAATCAATAATATTGATGTAAAACTACTTGTTCCATTGGCAGATTATTTCACTGTAACAAGTCAGTTTAAGTACTTTTGCATCAACATTAAGGAATTAATGACTTAAAACAAGCTCCTATATCTTGGTAAAGAGTTAATTTTATCTTATTTCCAGTGTATGAAAATATTCACACTAAGCATAAATACACAGGAAAACCAGAAGACGCCCCAAAAACAGAACTTGGTTGGGAAAACATTGAAAGTAAACCATATGATTTTTGCTGCTGTTGATTTTGTATAGAATCTATTATCTTATCATGCAAGTTTGTGTGTGAACAGATAATTAGAGATGTGGATTCAACAAGTGAAAATCAGAATCAGCTGTAAAACTAGATGTCTTTCTGAACTCAAACTTTTCTCTCAAGGTTTCATTTTTAGACAAAAACACTCCACTGTCGCACTTGACCAAAACATTATTTATTTGTATAAGCAAGATACTACACAATAGAAAAGATGCTTAATTTCACCCAAGATCCTATTTTCATAAAAGCTTCCTCTGGGAGAGCTGATCCAAGACCAGTGTGGCTCGTTTAGCTCTCTGCCCCGCCCTGCTGTGGTCTCCCTGACGATCACGAGCAAATTACTTTGTGGGAGGGTGAAAAAAAACGGTAATACGTGATTTTCTGCCACCTCGATGGGACCGACTGCTGCTCTGACACCAGCAGACCTTAATGGGGGTGACGAGGTCTGGTGGAAAAGGCGGCCGCTCCAGCGACTTCATTAAGCTCTCTGGGGCTGATCTTGGATTAGCGCTCAGACTCCACAGAGCTTTTACAAACACAGGTTCCTGTCGCTTGATACAGACAAGGTGATGTTCATTGAGACGTAGAAAATAGTGATTTCTTTTGTTTTATTGAAGTATCTCAACAGACTAAGACACTTATAAAGTGTAGTAGAAATACCAGAGGTGAGGAGAGTTTACTGCGGTGTTGGCCAAGCTCTGGTAAGTTCAGTCAGTTCTGAGGAGATGAATTTGCTGAATACTAATGAAATGCCACTGTCTCATGAGTTAATCTGTAAATCAGCATAATAGTAACAGCCCACAGTGTAACAGCCCCTCTGCTGTTCATCTAGCAACTCTCAAAACGGGTTTATTTTCCATTACAAGTCTCTGGATAGGACACAAATGGGTATGGAGGCTTTATGAATATATAAGCCCACTAAAAATAAACTAATTTACGCAGCACGAACTGACTGAACTGTAACCAGACCGACTCCAGCCTTGCTACTGGCCTAACATACATTCCATAACTGTATGAAAATAGAAACATTAATTAGATACGTCTCACAAAAAGCTTCAAATACCAGTGAAAGTGTGTTGGTGTAGGGAGGAGGACAGAAAAGAGGGACCGGTTGTTGTAGGAAGCCAAAGAACCGCAAGAAACAACGTAAAACAGCTAACAAAACCAAAAAGGTTTTGCCTGAACGTTTGGGTCCGAACACAAACATGGCGCCGGGTTTTATTTGTTTGAGGAGGGAACGGAGAGACTCCATCAAGAGCCATCAGCAAACATGCTGTAGCATCCATTTCCAGCTCTGTGCTGTGCACCAGGTGAACGTGGAGCATCACAACATATAGAAGCGAATCATCTCAAATTGGTGAACTTGGCTAGCAAACAGGGTCTCCCATGTTTGCATTTGTGTTAGGATGACGACTCTCATCATCCTTCAAAGCCATTTTCCACGGTTTGCAGGCGTGATGGCAGCTTATGTTTTTTTTTAAATAAATAGTTTGACATTTTGTCGGGGAGATCTGTGTTGCTGCCGAGGTTTAGAGAAGAAAACCAGTGTAATATTTCGGTGGCAAAGGTTAAGTTACATAAAGTCATTCTCATTCTTGCGGCGTCTAAGAGTGACATTTGTCAAAGCCATCACCACCTCTGAGGGTCTCTTGTGTCACACATGGGCAATATTAGACACCTACAGCCACTGGCCACTTTATTAGGTACACCCTATCAGTATGGATTGAACTGGTTCATCATTTGTGGGACAGATTCAAGAAGGATTTTGAAAACATTCCTGAGATTTTGGTGATTTTTATAAGATGGTTGTTGGATATTTTTTGGTGTAAGGTCATTGATGGAAATAGGAGTCCAGTAACTTACTTTTTTAAATGGAGCTTTGTTTGATCCTGCTGGATGGAGGCGTCAATAGGTATACTGTGGTTAAATCTTGCTTACTTAATACATTGGTACATACACAGAACCGGATTTTTATATTGACTAAGCATCCAGATTTTTACTACGAGCTTCTATTTTCAGCACCAGGAATCAGATTTGGTTGTCATGCATTTGTTTCTTCATTCCTTGCTAATTTTATTTACTTGAGAAAGGCATCCAGTGCATGCAACCTTTACACAAAGCTACTTCTGTGTTGTTTCTGGCTGAGGAAGTTGCTGGGCAGCAAATGGCACCATCAGAAAGCGTTAATTACCAGACGTGCTACTATCTCAGTGAACCCATGAAAAAAACTGATGTGTTGTTTTTATTTCGGGGGTTTAAAATCTAATTCTTGCTGCTAGCCATTGTCTTTCAACTCCTTCATAATGGAACCATTTTCAAACCAAAAGGCCAGTAATAACGAACATAAAATATTTGGGAGTGTTTTACATTACTGTGAAGAAATTTTGGACTCAGTAATGCAAAAATAATTTCACTTTTATTTTTGATGAAGCTAAATGTGCTTAAGTCTGAGGTTCTGAATTGATGTTTCTGCATTCTTCTGTGAAGGTTCTGGAGGGGATCGGAGTCCATGGTTCCTGGAGCAGCAGAACAACCCAAGACCTTCATACTTCCACCAACATGTTTAAGGGTAGGTTGTGTTTTTTATTGTTACTATGTAACGAGAGGCACAGCTTTTAGGACGTTCCATCTTGGTTTTGTCAGGCAGAGCAATTATCCCAAGAAATATAACAACCATTTGGTGGATCGTCTTTTCCTTTTGGGTTAAGTAGTTTGACCTTAAAACTCAATTTCTGTCAGATTCTCTCATATTATTAGATCACAGATGCTGACTTTACCTGAGGCAAGGAAAGCCTGCAGGGCTTTAGACATTATCCCGGTTCTACAAGATCTTAACTCATCTAAATAGTTTATTAATCCCTTCTCGATGAATAAATATCAACTATCTTCTCTGTTCTTTCATATCTTTAGGTAGGAAAATAATTGGTGGCCCAACTTAATGTTGCAAAATAGGTTCTATTTAGATAGTTATTTAGCCAAATCTAAAACAAAAGTATAAGAAGCATAAACTGAAGAAATCACTTTTCTAGGCACAGATTTTTTGGCAAATCAAATAGGTATTAATTGTTTTAAAGTTCATCTCAGCTGGTGCTAAAGACCACTACATTTTTTCCAATTTTACTTCACAGCGTTCTGACCAATAATCCCCATGGTACGGTTCAGCTAAAAGGGTTGCTAATGGTCAGGCTCAGTCAGAGCTCGTTACTAAATCTAATGTCTACACCTTGGTCCAATTGGTAGTAAGTAGCCTAATACTTTTCTTTAAAAGTTCAAGTTTAATCACAGTTCACTTGGCACACAGTTCCCATAAAACGTAGTAAATAATATTTGCTTCACCTTCGTTCTAAACATTGAAGTTCACAACCATTGCACAGAAAAAATACCTTTACTCATAATGTGTCACTGTAATTATGCAAAATACTAGAAGAAACAAAAAGTTATGTGATCGATATTATAATAAATTACCAGATTCTCTGATTGTCTTTTGTAGATGAAAGGTTTTCCTAATCTAGTAATTTATCTTATTTGTGAATTTCTGGAGTGTGTAAAGTGTTGAAATGAAGATTACTTTCAGGAGTAGAGCTAAATCCATAACAAAACACACAGAAATGTAGAAGTTGAGCTGTTATATTTCTAGCCACACTCCAGATCACAGCTGACAAACAAAAATCTCCCAAAATGTCAAACTTTTCATTTACAAAGAGACTGTGAAATTAAAAATGACAGTAAAAAAAATCCAAATAAGCATATTTAATAGAGAAACTAAATATCTGCTCTGAATGAAAGCACTCCTATAGCTAAGCTTATTTGTGTATTTAAACATACATAATACGCCCAAGGCTGGGATTTGTAAGTTTAGTTTGGTTGGTTTACATTTGTTGCGTAAGAATGTTGTAAACTGCGTCCCGTGGTCATAAAACATCAGCACCAACAGGCTGCTGACTCGTATTAAACAGCTAACTGATGTGTTGGCGTTGCTGTAAACTCATGTCCAACTTGATGAGAAAAGAGGAAAAGAACTAATTCTAGTATAGAACTAAAACTAAGCTGCTACAAAATAAAAGCAACAACTTTGAACATGTCCATTTGTGAAAAACTGAGATCCAGGTTGGTTTCGTCAGTAGATGGACAGCTCAGCATGCGGCCTTGTGACTTATGGGATGAAAAAGAAAAATGAACTCTGAAGCCGCATACTTTGTTGCTGCACCCTTTCCAGAGAAGGCACTATGGGTGCTTGGCTATCTCGATGTCCAAGATTCAGCTTTGCAACCCTGTCCCCGAACTTCTCTCTAGTCACAGTTTGGTTTCCTCAGAGTTATAAAATCTGTCTTTCCGTCCTGACAGAGAAGTAAAGCCACTTTTTAAAAATCCTGGCCATCAAAATATTACCCTTGAAGAAGCGTGTCTGTAAAAACTTCCCATAATAAAGATCCAGCTGATTTCCTCCACAACCTGGTTGAGACCTCACGTCTCCAGTCTCGGTGGGGAATGATGAGAGCTGTTCCAGCAGGGTCCAAAGATGGCCGCCCGATCAGACTAGAGGTAGAGGTAGCTGACCCAGTAGACTATGTTAAAAAGCAAGAAGGAGGTGGGGAAAAACACCCGGGAATAGGAATCCAGCTCCTGGATGTTGAGGTGGATCCGTCCTTTCCTCCAGCCGCCTTCTTTACACTCTTCGAAGCAGCAGAAAAAGCTCTTGCAGTCTTTGCCGTCCAGGCACTCGTACAGGCAGTTGTCATCATAGTCGTGCCAGAACAAGGAGTTGCCCATTGGCATCATGGCTCGAGGGGTGCGACCAATGTTGAAGGATGAGTAGGCCTGCAGTACAGAGTGAGAAAAATTCAAATAGTGTCACTTCTAAGAATCCATTCACAAGATGAGTAACTCGCGTTGTATTAGAGCTGGACTTAATTGAATATTAAAGGATCCTTTTAAAGTACGAGTTGGTGAAACTGTCAAATTTACTAACCTTGATTTAGCTCAGTTATATTTTAATGGTCAAAGATGGAAAAACAATCTAAAAATTAAATAATTTTTATATTTTTTACCTTCTACAATCAATTTTGCAACAATCTCATTACAAATAGTGTTTTTTTTTTTCTGAAACCAAATTTCTTGAACAGTTTAAAATAAAACAGTCAATTGTTTGCTGTAACAATCTGTACATCTGCAACTAATTAAGACAAGCTTGGACAAAATGATTGCGAAATTCTTTTAAACATATCGCCTTTTAAAAGCATTAGCTTTTACACAGCTGCCAAACAGATGATTCTCAACTCGACTTCATTGAACTACGGAGAAATAGCTGTAAATCAAGTTCCTAGTGGTTCACTGTGTTTAATCAAATCCACAGCCATCAACCAGGAAGCGTTGGAGAGCTTAATGCTTTCTTCTGGTGACAAGTTTTGTGGAGGTGTTGCTTTTTATTTCCCAGCAGGACTCGTCACCTGCCCACACACAAAAAAAACCCCCCTGCTTTAATACTAACGGTGTTACTGTGCTTGATTGACCAGCAGTGTAGCCTGACCTGAACCCCAGAGAGCCAGATGAACAAGTGAAACACTAGACTGAACATCAGAGCTCAGCTCAAGGCCTCCACTGCTGCAAAGTAAACACCCAAACTAATTCACTCTTTACAGTACAAGGACATGCTTTCTGCATTAAATAGTTTCTCACCAGTCTTTAATAATTGCAGCTTTTGCCACTAACCATAAGGATCACAATGAATTGAAATAAACGTTTGACAAACTCCTGTGAGCAATGAATCTAGAATCCAACCTTTACTCTCTGAGCTGCATTTGAACATTTTTGTTGTATTATAGCCTGAAGTTTGTGGACAAATGAACTAAGTTTATGAAAACAAATCCTTGACACAAGATTTTATGCAATCAATGCACCAAATAGACAAATATTCTTGTTTAGATGATAAAAAAACATAAATAAAACTGATCTATAACAGAAATAAAATTTTATATTCAAAGGTTTCTTTTGAGAAGTTCAAATTGGAGTAGAACCAGAAAATCAAAAGTCAAATTGCTGCTTTATAAAACCTGCACTGACTGTAGTTAAAAGGTTTAGAACAGGAACTATGAGGTGGGACTTCAGATGCATTTTAAAACCCTTTCCTTCTCCAGTCAGGGATGAGTGGCATGCGATGGAGAATTGATTGAGTGGGCACTGAAAGGATGCCCATGAGGGGGATGAGGTGGGAACACACAGCTTCCCAATGCAGGATCGGCCAAAACCCAGAAGAGGGTGGCTGAATAAAAGGCAACTTAATTGTTTGGTCCAAGCTGACAGTGGTTTTGGCCCTGAGACACATTGAGCAGAACTCCTCCACACAAGGAGGAAATAATGAATAGGGAGCAGATCTGGAGAGAGGGAGAGATGACAGCAGCGGCAGCGGCGGCTGACTCAATTCTAGTGCGTTTGTGCCGCCGACATTAAGGCACTCGCGGCAGGTACAGCCTTGGAGGACGCCCACGCACGGCATGAGGGGCGAAGACTGGAGAGGAAATGGTTTTTAACTGAGCACAGGTGTTCATAAAGACGTGTCAGATTCCTGGGAAGTGATCTGGCGCATCATATAGATGGAATCGATATTCGTTTTTGAAAGAGTGATGTCTAGCAGAAGACATTATTAGCAAGGGCTCAGGAGCAATTTTTGCAGCCTCAAATGGTTGTTCATAGATGATGGATGGTGCTGCTACAAATGGTAGATCACATGGGAAGGGAACCAGACGTTCACTCTTTAGTTTAGTTTCAGATTCAATGTCAGAGAAAATAAAGGAAATTAAAGGTTGTCTTTTTATAGTATTTAAATATTGAGCTTCGACTGCATGTTGGTGAAGTTTCTCCCCTTCTTCTGTTCTGATGTTTAGCAGCATTTGATACACACTATGGATGATCACACAGATGTCTTAGAGTCCTAAGCGCCCTAGCAAGTTGCTATGGCAGCCATGAAAGCAATGTTTTGAGATATTTGATTAAAGTCCGTACTGTTTGTCATGTTAATTATCTTCATTAAAATTCCAGAGACTTCCCTTTCCCCCCACGCAGGCACACAATATGGTTCGGGGTTGTTATGTCTGCACTCTGTTTCTCTCTGTAGTCGGTTTCTTTGTGTTTTTGATACTGTTTCCAGTAGTTTCCCTTTAGTTCCCCTCTTCTGTTGCCTTTTTTTTGCCCCTTTGTAGCTGCTTAGTGTCTGTTGGTGGACATCTTGTTTTCCTTTGAGGTCTGGTGATTGACAAGGCAACAGCAGATAAGAGCATCAGTCAGACTAGTTTAGTAATGTCACCATTTGAAACATTACAGGGATATTTAAATGAGAGGCACTGATGCATGCTTCAAAAGCTGATTTGGCTCTGCACAAAGAGCCCTGCTTGTAACAGATATCAGAAAGTATCATTGTACAACACAGACTTACCATTCGCTGCATCTTGGGAGGCGGTCTGCGTATACTGTAGGAGTAATAATTGAGCATTGCATACTCAATCATGGCGGCAAAGACGAACAGGAAGCAGACGGTGACGAACAGGTCCATGGCCGTCACGTAGGACACTCTGGGTAGGGAGTTTCTGGCCACTGTGCTCAGGGTGGTCATGGTCAGCACTGTAGTGATGCCTGCAAAGAAGCAAATGCACAACCTTTACTCAGCAGCTATGAGGTGAAATATGATACTTTGTAAAAGTGTTGATACCCTTTGTCCGACTATGTTGCCAACATTCTACTAAAGTCTTAAGCAGGAACTTTTTACAAAAAAAAAAAAAAAAAAACTCCTTTTTTCAATCATTATGCACTAATTTGTGATGGCCTATTAAAATAAAAAGATTCAAATGTGTGTGGTTGTAATGTGGAAAAGTTCATGAGTAATTATGCCAGCTGCATATGATGTCAGATTAAGTAACGTGAGGAAAGATGTTAATCACTATTAATAATGTATATTCTGGGCAGATGTTTCCACAGCCGAATTAATCTCATCAGATGGGATGTCGCGTCTCAGTGGAGCAGCCGAGATCCAGAAACATCTTCCAATTCTTTTTACATTTATTGCTGTATTATAATCCCACTCTGGGAATTATGAGATTAGGAAAACATATTAATAAAAAAATATAAATAAATAAATCACCAGCTCCACATTTGCTACCATCAATTACTATGAAAAAAATATGCAAAGAAAGTATTTTTAAATACGTTTTTAAAAGATAAACTTAATTCCTCCATTTTTTCTTGGTGATTTTCAGATTGATCTGTGGTTGTTTTTTCCAACAATGCTTAAATCAACAATCAAAGTGAGACAGATAGTCAGCTGGGCAACATCACAATAGAACCAAATCCTGAAACGGCCTCATCATTTTTCTGAGAAGAGCCTCAAAAGGTGCTGGTTCTGCTTAGCGAGCATGCTGGCCCTGTACGCCTGGACAATTACCAGGATAATCAGTTTGGGAGGGTGTCAAACCACAGCATGGACTCACATCACAGTATTTTATTTGTCTCCATTAAACTGAGATGAGGGGAAAAAAATCTCCTTTGCTTTGATCAAAAACTAGATACTAATAGTTACAAAAGATGTCAGGATTCTTCACCTTAAACAGAAAAGATCCTCTCTGTCTCTGCTTGATGGACTTGTTCAATTTTACAGTCAAAATTATACAAGTAGGTGAATTTAAGTTGTTCAGCTGCTCCGTATGTGCTGGTGCTGCTCTGCTTGGCCTCATTCCTGCTCTTGGATTTTCCCTTTTTGGTGAAATTGATTTGTTAGCCTGATCAGATGATGCTTTCTAAATTTGATTCCTTGTATCTTTTTTAGCTGCAACAAGAGTTGATCCAAACACTCATTTGGTCTTTTTGTTCTTTCATCAACTTGGTCAGTTCGTCAGGTTGTTTGGGTTTAGAATATTTAGCAGAGCTAAACATCGACAAAGTTTAGGAATAATAAACCTTTAATGCTGGAGATTTGACATACTGCACAGTGCATGGACATGCTTTTTGGCAGGCTAATTCCCACGCATTTAAAATCATTTTAGTTTTATATTACCTACTTTCTGAGGAACTGAATGTTGGTTTTCATTGGTTGTGAGACAGAGTTTTACTTTTTGAACTGAAAGGCTAAAATTAAGTTTTTTGTGAAACATTTTTTTCTAAATATACCTTTTAGTGTTGAAATCTTAATAGATGTCACTATAGCCAATACTCTTGACCTTTAAAGTTCTGACAAACAGTGATATTTATTGCTTGCAATATTGAATGATAAAAACAGTCAGTGTTTCAGTAACTACTGGTCAGTGGTATTTGGGAGTTGCTTGAAAAGAAATCAGTTGTTTCAAAGAGGAATAAAAGCAGCGACAGGAACAACGTCGATATTTCCTCCTGTGACACTCATCACTTTTGGAAGCTCAATCTTTCCCTCCCTTCATTGTCTTCCTGCCACGTCTCCCCTCTCCCTCCCTCTCTCTATCTCTCCTCTTGCTCTCTTTCACCCTCATCCCTTACATGTCTTTCATGGTGGTGTGCGCGCCACTGTTTTTGCCTTTCGTTTCCATAGAGACAAGTTGCTCCTTTCTATTTCAGGCCACCTCTTCTCGTCTAGTGTTCGTCTAGACTTGTCTTTTTTTTCTCTCTCTCTCTCTCCTGACTAATTATGTTAAAGTAAGCAACCTGGTAAATGTACAACCCTCTTCTCAGATACTTCATCATCTCACATCCGACTGCAGATCTCCGCAAAATCATCACTGAAACAAAACTTGGCCTCACATGTCTTCACTACCTGCTGGCTGTCTGCTTTTTAAAATCAGGGTCAGAAGTTTTCTTTGGTTCATTCGGTGGAAATTGCCACTACATGATACCATAGCAACCCAGTGATATGAAACACTCTCGCGTCTATGGTCAAAACAAGAGCTGACACATAGAAGTGAGAAAAGCTGCGTTGCATTTGGCTGCAAAAGGCAAGCATGCAACAACATTTTGATTCCAGCAACAAGAAAGAACAGGTTCTCTGTTTTTTAATCAAACGACTGTGTGTCTCCAAAGTCCACAGGCCCTGCTGTCCCTGCAGTGAATGTAGGGGAATAATTCAACTGGAGGTTGTGAAATGATGCGACTGGTTTCGAATGCCAGACGCTGACCTTTGTTTAGTGTCCAGGTGTACAGCTGGGGGTCCAGACCGCACACGTTCTATAAATAGTGCAGAAGAGAACCAGGAACCAGGAGCCGGGTCGAAACACCGCAAATTTTCACAAACGCATGTTTGTGGATAGAACTACATGATGTTTTATTTTAGAATAACTTTGTGCTGAAGTCAAAGCATGGAGAATGTTGTTTTTTAAATCTTTTAAATGGTGTTAAAGCTACAATTTGATCCATCTTAGTGCAATTGATTATTTTTGTTTTTTATTCACAACTTTTGAAGATTTCTCAAATTAATAGAAACTAATTTGGAAATGTACAACGTTGCTAGTATAGCTTTAATAATCTAATATTTATTGGTTAGGGCTGCCAGAGGCAACAGCATAAGTAGGATTAAAATCCAGAACAGTTGGTGTTATTGAAATTAATATGCATGTTATTTCAAGTGCAGTTAAACCTTGATTTGCTAAAACCAGTTAAACATGTGAAGGTTTCCTGGATCCAAGAACTGGAGCTAAAACATGAAAATATTGTGAAAATACATTTTTAACTTTTAAAGCTGGTGTATAATCGGCTCAGAATGAATTTAGCATCTATTTATCATTATATAGTTGAAATATCTACACAGACTGAGTTTTGGAAACAAATCATACTAATGTGAGTGTATGTGTTTGGTCTGGAGTTATGATGCATTCGTATCTATACAGCAGGAAAAGCAATGCAATGCACCAAGCATGATACCCTCTGCAACAAGCACCTTGTTTGTTGTAATTATGCTGATGTTTTCATATTAATGTGCTGGTGATTAAGGTTAAAATGCAACCAATGGCAACTCCAATCTGATCTGATTAAGTGTGTTTTGTACACACTTTAGCGGCTGTGGCTACAAACCATGTCCCATTCACATAATCAGTCTGACGGCTCTGCAGGAGCACCCTCTGACCAAAGAGCCACTTTACTGCCTGAAGCGTAATTTGTTTTCTCAGTCGTGTAATATATGATGGTCAGAGTGCTCCTCTGAACTGCTTAAACTATGCTTTTTTTATTTATTTATCTTTTATCTCAGTCAAACTTTGTTTAGTATATACAAAGTATACCTTTTTTTTTGGGGGGGGAGAACCATATAGGAGTTTTAAGCATGATAAATTCTGAGATTTTGCCAGTTTATGCACTAAACTTTCTGGTGTTTTATTGCAATTTCTTTTTTTATTCACAACTTTTGAAGAGTTGTGAATAACAATACATGGTTTGAAAGGGAAATATGCTTTAAAGTGTGATGTGCATTTGTAGGTAAGGTCCCTTGACACTGATGTCCCAAAATAAAATCTAGGACATCTTGTTTGCCACGTTAGACCTGAACTCTTGGCCAAAAGAGACCAAAGTTTAACTTTAGGTCTAGTCAAAGTTCAGAAAGAAATCCAACTGGGAATGTGGGGCAAGACTTAAAACTGGTATTCTAAGAAGTTATTATTTCCCAGTACTTCATAGTTTTGCCCCCCTTTTAGCTTTGGTTTGAAGTGAAAAAGTGGATGTGAATACTTCTTCCACTGAAGCTCTCATGATGAACTATTTCAACTTTACCGCCAAGAATCTACGAGACCTTAACAAGCATTTTGTGTCAAAGGCGACTTGGACAAACCATTTTTTAGCCATTTGGTTTTGTCTCGAGTTTTCTTTATGCTTTCCATTGTTTGCTTTTCTACTTTTTTTGTGTCTGGAAAGTATTTTTCTGCTTGATGAAAAGTGGCCACAGTCTCTGTAATTGAGAGGAAAAACAATAGAATCAGCTGCTTTAGGAGATATCCTAAAATGAGAAATGTCCATGTTGTGGTGACAAGTCCTCCGCTGTATGAATAATGACTCTTCTCTGTTGGGAGCAACAGAGGAAAAAAGGCACAACGTGTGCAGAAGGTAGAGGCTGTGATGGATGGATGAGCCAACAAAATGCTGGAAACCAGGGTTTGTTTTAGCCAGGTCTTATACTAACCACCACCTGTCTGACTGCAACACCATTCTGCTGTGAAGAAAGGTTCCCCCATCACATATTTCATCTGTTTTGCTTTTTTACTCCCACAATGAAATCTGGAATATAAAACAGCATTTTTAATGAGACTTTTTATTACTTCCAAGTGGGAAAAAGTAATTGATGAATCACAGTTTTTGGAAAGCTGACCTGAATTTTACTAAATCCGCCCAGGCTGATTCACATCTTTTATTGGAGCTTTGTGAACAAAAAAGTAGGCTAAAAGATCTGAAAAAACAACAAAACAACGCCTCATCCCCAATCCAAAGATGGCAGTCCTGGTTATGTCTGGTGTGAAACTAAAAGTATTTGTTATGACGATCTGAAGTTGGTTTTCTGCTGAAGGACCTGAATAATTTTCTCTATCAAAAATTCACAAGAAAAATGACTTGAAGCTCAAGCACACTTGGTTTTAATAAGCAGAACCATTATCCAAAAGCACACTAGCAAGTCCATGGCTTAAAAAAGTGAGTGG